GAAATGAAGCGGTCAGCTCTGTGTTCAAGTTTCACTTGTGCAGAAGTTGAATTTGGCCATCAGGTACGAAACGGCGCAGCGCCAGGCGGCGGAAGCTGAAGAAGTGAGCAGATTTGCAAATAAAAGCCCCGAAATTCGGAATATAATTCAAAATTAATTCAAAATAATTGAAAACAAAAGATACTTTGGGGAAATGTGCACGCAATCTCCAGTTTGCAAGTCGACTCAAAGTTTCGCTGCGGGTGCTCGAGACACGGCTGCTGGCGAAGAAGTCGGAGCTCGTGGCAATGACCCGTCGAAACGACGCGGTTTGTTGCATTCGAGAAGTTTTGATTGATTTATTTTCGAATTATATCTTTTGGATTCTCTTTAGGCGGAGAAATATATCCGTGCTTCTGCTGCGGCGCCGCGGACCCCGAGGACCTGCCAGGCGAGATCTGGTCGCGAGGAAAGCTGCGAAGCTCTGGGCTGCGCTTTCCGCGAGAACTTGAACTAAAAAGTTTTTAGTTTTGTTTCCCATTTTGCGATCTTTTGATCTACTTTTCTTTTGCACTGGCTGCTGCCGAGCGGCGGCCCCAAGTCGGCTGCGGATCGCTTTCCCCAGGGCCCCACACCGCAGCTGGGGCGGTTGGCTGGGAGTGCGAAGAGCCCTTTGCCTCTTATAGTTGTCTGAGTCTTTCAAAAATTGTTTGTTCCATTTTTAAAGGTCCAGGGAGCACTTTCGTGGGCGAATCCGCCCGGAGCTTCTCCGTGGGCTGGGGGTTTCGCAGGGCCCCAAAGATGGCTTTGCTGCTCGGGCGGGGCACAGCGAGAAGCGGCTAGTTAGCTAGCGCTGGAAGATGGCGGGGCGTGGAGGCAGCAGGCGTCCCTTGCTGCTGCTGCAGCGCCTGCAGCGGCTGCAGCGGCTGCAGCAGCTGCTGCACCTCGCCGTGCTGCTGTGTCTGTGCCTGGACTTCGCGTCCGCCTTCCTAATCGGAGGCTCCGCGCCTGGCCGGTGTGCGCACCAGCTGCTGCAGCCGCAGCAGCAGCTGCTGCCGCCCCCGCCCTCCCCCCGGTCTCCCCTCCCGCCCCCGCGCCGCAGCAGCAGCAGCAGCAGCAGCAGCAGCCGCGCAAGGGGCCCCCCAGAAAGCAGGGGCCCCTGGGCAGACGTGCCCGTGAGCCGCTTCCGCAACATCGGAATTGTGGCGCACATTGACGCGGGCAAAACGACAACAACAGAAAGAATTTTATTTCTGACGGGAGTTTCGCACAAGTTGGGAGAAGTCCACGACGGAGAAGCAGCAATGGACTGGATGGACCAGGAGCGCGAGCGCGGCATCACCATCACTGCTGCTGCCACCACCTGCTTCTGGGCCAGCAGCAGCAGCGCCAGAAGCAGCAGCAGCAGCAGC